AGGAACCACACGCACAAACAATGAATCTGTAACAGAAACTAGATTAAACACACAAAAGCAACACAAAGATTTACATGGTTCATTTAAAGAGAGGGCTACATCTATGGATTCGTTGTGATTTCACTATGATCATAATAGAGGAATTACAAGAGTTTCTCACACTCAATTTCACAAACTCACTCTATTGATCTCACTAATAAATAGGTTTCTCACACTCTCAAGACTACTATGATAGAGTTACAAATGAGTATTTATAGAGCTAACCCTGAAAAAAGCCTAGGATTACTAGGATTAGAGTCCAGATGTCAAAATCATATCAAAATTGCCTTTCCGTGCAAGTCTAGGCAGACAGCTCACTCGAGTGCCCATGGGCCCACTCAATTGAGCTTCCATTCTCACCCTTATGCAAGTGCGCTTACTCTAGTAGCTGTTCACCCCTTTCTGGACAACCCTGCATGACTGGCCATGACCCCTGCTCGAATGCACCTTGCAATCAAGTTCCACCATTTAGATCTTGTTTAGAAGTTAAACAAATAGTCAAGGAGGTTTTAAGACAACCTTTTAGTCCAGTTCAAACTTATAAGGACATAAGTCAATGAAAACTTATCATGCATTCTTTTTATCATGCCCACGCACCTTATATGATTTAAAATTAGGACTGTTAAATGAGCCAAGCTACTTGAGCTTGAGTCGTATTTGGCTCGTTAAATGCTCGTTCGATATTGGCTCGTTATGTAAAACCCATAGTTAAATGCATTTTAAAACTCATTAAGTTTTTAAGCCAAGTTTGAACAATCTACTATTCGGCTTGATAAGTTTTTATTTACTGTAGACAAATAAGCTACTTGAATTTGGCTCGTTTAAAGCATGTCTGAGATCGACTCAACACATTTTGAAACTTATTTAGTTTTCAAGCAAACTTTGAACTATATCTACTACTCATTTCGACTCGTCTCATTTCACACAAGCCCTATTTAAACTTTTAGAATTATGTATATTTTGTGTTGCTCTGGTTTCAATCTTAATAAACAATTTTGCTCACAAATTACAGGGGCATGGTGTTTATTTCCAGGCTATAACATACTTCTCATCATTGATTAATAGATTATCAGATTTTGTGCATTGTCTGTGATGGATTGACAGTATGTGAATGCTTTAACCTATTTCTCATCATTGATTAGTACAAGAGGTTAAACTCTTCAGGGTTTGTAGGAGCTCTTTACACCAGAGAACTTTTGCCATAGGTTAATGAAGCTTCTTTGTTTGAAGACTTGAATGAGTCATGGGAGGTGCTTGCGGAACCAATACAGACTGTATGTTCCTTTCTTCTAGTTTACATATCATATTCAATCTGAATTTTTTTTGGCCCTCTCTACAGATTTGAAGAATTAATATTGTGACTGCTAAAGAAAATCTTTTAACTGAATGCCATCAATAGCTCATATTGAATGCTAGTGACAGTGATTGACTGATTTTATTTTATCTTTCCTTCTCGACACTTGTTTGAATGAAATAAACCATTCTATGATTTTACTTCATAGGTTGATATTCATTCTTGGTAAAAACTATCAATTATGTACCCTCAGATTGCCTCTTTCTTATTTATTAGGGGGGACAGTGGGTTGGGTTTGATTGCCTCTTTCTTATTTATTAGGGTTGAAATTTAAATTTGTGAAACCTAATTTGGTTCGAGATTGAGAATTTTTAAAAAAAAGCGCTCTAGAAGAGTTTTAATAGTTGTGGAGTTCGTATGTGATGTGATGTGTGTGTGTGTGTTTTTTACATGAGGGAGTAGGTGCTGCTAACACAACTTGGGACTCTAGAGCTTCTCCAGAAGACATGGAAAAGATGTGGAATCATCCTATTGTTAGTAAAGAGTGGAGCAAATCTGGGGAGAAACAGGGGAAAAGTGCGATTTTCTCACGATGCCGAGAATAGACCTTATCTTTCTCGGGTAGAGTTAAGGGTAAGATTAAATAATATGGATATGCAAAATATATATTTTCTTGCATGTATTTATCATAACTGGATATTTTGAATGCTTCCCCTGTTGCTATGTTCTTCTGCTACCCCCTCCCCCTTCATCTTCTTTGTTACTGGTCACCATTTTCCGCTTCATTGGTTATCTATAAGACAACTAAGAAAGCATAATTTATTTTCCATGACCAGTTGACAAACTTCACCCAATCTTTGAATAGTTACCATCAGCTACTGAATTAGGGCAGGTTTTGAACTTAATTTGAATAGTTATCTACTATTTGAATAGTTTTGAACATTTTCGTAGATGTTTTAGTCAGCTTGTTGTTTTGCTTGGAATTGCAGGCCGGAAATGGTGGTAGGATGGTATCATTCACATCCTGGATTTGGCTGTTGGCTCTCTGGTGTGGACATCAATACTCAACAGGTTGTATTCTATCTTCTTTTGTTGATTACGATTCAACCTTCTTCAGCTCGGTGAGCACCACCGTCTACAATCTCAGTTTCGTATCCTCTCTCTCTCTCTCTTTCAAGCTCTTCCTTCCGTCTATTCTTCTCCTAGGGTTTGGATCAACTCTCCTCTTGCCTGACTATGTTGTGAGATCTGAGTTCGAACGGTAAAGAAAGCCCTAGATTGTTGTGTTTTGGGGGTTCTTCTTGTTCCTTGAAGGCAATACCGCTACAGTTATTGAGACTAGGTCATCTCTTTTTCCCCCTCAAGAAGGTAAGATTTGAAGTTTGAAGCACCAATGTCTTCATGTAATCGAAATTTCTTACTCAATAACATGTTTCAGATCTGAGATTTCTGATTCAAAATTATGTTTGAGATTTGAAATTTCTTATTCAAAAACATATGTTTCAGATCTGAGATTTATCTTTCAAAAATATATGTTTAAGATTCGAAATTTCTCATCCAAAAATATTTGTTTGAGATTTGAATTTTTTCATTCGAAACAATATCGTTTAGATATGAGATTATCCTTTCGAAACAATACCTTTTAGTTATTATTATTATTATTTTATTTTTTTTGTTATCAATTCATGCTATATTCATTGAAAAAGTGTAATAAATTATTGACCAGGGACAACTAGATGGACCACTAGGTCAACTTCCCTGTCCCATTTAATTCCTCATACTTGTATTTTGGTTATATACTGGAAGCATAGTAATACAGATACGTCATCCTTGATTTTTTTTTTGTCTTTAAATGGTTCGATAATGCTTCCCTTAGGGCCTTGTCGTGGTCAATTTTGGTTTCATTTTCTTCTTGGTATGGCAAATTCTATAACTATGCCTTTTTAGTTCAGTATTAACCACTTACAATGTGATCTACAGCTGTAGAATGTTAAGAATATTAAATCTGATGGCATTAATATGTAACATATTATTAACCAGGTCTTCACTTATCTCTTTTTTGTTTTTGGGCTGGTGGGTCTGGATTGTTAAAGTAACATCACTTTTAGGCATCAACAAATTAATTAGCTAATTGTCCATTCCCATCAGAAACCTCTATTATTGAGAAGTGTTGTTTGATTCTTTCTCTTGTATGCCCAGGTGTACTCCATGTAACTGGTGGGCCACCTTTTGAACTGTCAAAAAACTAAAACTCATAACCATTATGAACCTGCTGTTTAAAATTTAAAATTGAATTAATAATTGAATTAAGAATTGAATTAAGAATTTAAAATTTTACCTTGCAAGTGATGGTAAAATTATTAATAATTGAATTAATAATTCCGAAACCTTGATCACATCATGGTATGATGATCTCCTTATCTGTGTCAAAACAAACAAACCAAATCCCAAATCTCAATCTAAAATCCATAACCCTTTCAATAAAAATACAGAGCAGAGGCATTGAGTCAACAATCTAAAATAGGGGAAGACTGTAATTTAAACCCATAATGTAGTTTTTAAATGTTTTGTGGTACAATAGAATCTTGTTAAGATGTGTTTCAAGTGTTGTATTGGTTTTTCTGCAGATCAATGTGGTGACACAGCGGGGTTTTGTTCTAGTAGATGAGCGTATCCTGCCAGTGCACAAGGGATTTATGGTATGTGGTTATTACCTTGCTATTTGCTACTTCAGGCTATATGCTTACATTTTACACCTATTGCATATTTAGCGTTGCTCTCTTCATATAGTTGTTGAACAAGTCAGTGGAAAAGATCACCTGCTCAACCATTTGGGCATTCTAGCAGCTTGTTTCACTCACCCAGAAATTAGTATGGTTGGACTCACAGAGGTGAATATCAAATTTTCCAATTCCCATACCAAACCCGCAAATAGAATAAAATAAATAAAAAAGGATGTGTGCATTTTTATTCCCTCTTTTGTTCTTATTGGGTAGTGAAATAAAAAAGGTTACCCACCATATTCTTGTAATTTACCTCTAGTTGACTAACATCTAAAATTTTGCAGCCTCAAGAGAGGGAGAGAGCTGAAATAGAGGGGTTTGAAATAAGTGTTGCCAAGACAAGTTTAATAATATCTATGGTAATTGATATAATTTTTTTTTTGGGTATGGAAGAGGGAGCGTTGGGTTGATGGGTCTAATCTCCCAAGCTGTCTATGATGGTGACCGCCACGTCTTAGGGTAATTTCTCTCTCTCTCTCTCTCTCTCTCTCTTCTCCACTCATAAACTCCATTATTTATTTTTTTGCAGAGTGATTCCAAAAACTCTTATGCCCAGAGAGGTAATTCACTGCACTTGTTTCCTCATAATTTCAATTGAAACTGACTTCATTGAAATTCTTTAGCGTTTTGTTTTTATTTTTATTTCAGTGTATGTGCTCATTCAACATTCACCCCAAATGTGTAGATATATGTTTTTAAGTATTATTCAAAATAACATTTTTATTGATTTAAGTCTAAATATTTTATATTCATAACATATATTTAACATCTAAATGTGTAGATATATGTTTTTAAGTAATTTAGAAAAAGTGACCGAATCTTTACGATTCACGATTCGATTCGATTCGATTCGCGATTCGGTACAAGACCATTTCGATTCAACACTTAGAAAGAACTTGGATTTTGGAAGCCAAAAACTATGCATTATTACCAAGGTGAGCATCCCTACTATCATGTGCTGTTGTTTCCTTCTTTTTCTCTTACTTATTTTCCCTTTCTTTTAGCTCATAGAAGGCACCCTGTAAATTGCATTTTGCAAGCTCACATAAATCATGCTAGTTTACTGTTGGAATATGTTACTCCAAATTGGGCCTGTGTAACAAACAGAGTTGTTTAGAAACCTTTCTTCTTCTTCTTCTTTGTATGTGTGGCTGCACACCTGTATGTGTGTATTAATAACAGAATCGATTCTTGACCATGGGTTGTTATTGGCTCCTTTTGAGTCTTATTTTAAGGAGTTTCATGAATTAAGATTGGACTTTCTGAATAGAGAAGCGGCTGACTGCAGTTCCTGAAGCCAGCTTGTAGCGCTCTTAGGGTGAAAATGACTTTATTGAAAAAGTTATCATCTAATCGTATATGAATATGTTTATGTGTATGTATGTATATTTATATATACATATTTTATTACTGGTTTAGACTATCTCCTCAAATTCATGAGTATTGTCACTGACTCACAGCAATAACATGGATTCCATGTATGTGCTCACCGAGAGTGGATTGCTTGGTGGTCAGAAAAAAATGCTCATCGTGATTGGTCAGGAATGGGGCTGTAAAGTTGCTTGATAAATGTTGACAAAGAAAAGAAGGAATGAATTTGGAATTTCTTATCTGAATTAGTTTGGTAGGCCTGGGAATGAAGTGGTTTTTAAGGTGTTGAGTTTCCATCATATATGATGTGAGAGTAAACTAAATTCCATGGTTTCGGCACCATCTCTTCATATCCTTGAGCAAATACTATACTAAAACAACATGGATTCCATCTGTGCGGTTACTGAGTGGAGATTGCTAAATGCTCATCTTGATTGGTCAGAATGGGATTTTGAAGTTTCTTGTTAAATGTTGAAAAAGAAAAGAAAGAATCAATTTGCAATTTCTTACCTGAATTAGTATGGTAGGTCTAGACATGTTTTCAAAGTGTTGAAAATTTCCATCATATGACATGAGAATAAATTCAATCCATGGTTTCTGACGTTCTAGGACAATTCATGCCTTTGGTTGGAATGGATTGGTCACAGACTGGTGTTGCACATCTATATTCTCCTATTAAGGTTTCTTGCATCTCCCTCTTATGTGTTTTTGTATTTGTAATTTTTAATCTATTCTTTTCAGTTTAAGGTAATGATGCATATTGCAATTCATGACTCCATAATTCAAATAAATATTTTCATTTGCAGCCACCTTTTTTTTTTTTTTGGGCCAAAAATCTATGCAATCATGTATTTACTCCATTTTGTCATTGTGATTTACGCTATTGGCTTTGCATTGCTTTGTTTCTCATTTCTTACTTTTGTCTCTGGAGTTTGAGAATGGACAATTCTGTACATTTTATTATCTCATTACTTTTACTACTTCCCTTGTTGTGAGGTGTCTTGTATTTACCATTCACTCTAGAGTACTGTAAGGGGCCTTTTTTGGGTAAGGTCATAGAGAGTGTTATAGAAAACTGTGCTGCATTGAGAGGTTGAGAGTCTTCTTATAATCCTTATTGAGTATTAAGGATTTGTTCTCCATTTCTGCAGTAGATGTAGGCACACTCTGCCAAACCACGTATATCTTGTGTCTTGTTTTTGCGTGTGTGCTTTTGTTCTATTATTTACTGATTGATTGTAATTGGAATCACAATTCTGAAAAACATCTCTACTGACAAGATTGTTAAAAATTTTCATTAACCAGTTCTGTTCTTTCGTATTGCAGGAAAATGGGTATCATTTACTTTTTTACTGCAATCACTGAAGGGATCTTTTTTAGTGCAATAATGGATACACTTCAATGAGGTTAACCCCAAGGACACTAGTGTGCCGTGTCTTGTCTATGATTTTTCCATTTTTGTTATTCTTCACCATTCATTTGAATAGAAATTGTGTTTTGGTACTGTCAGTTTATCTCCTTTCTTCTGTTGACTAACTCAATTCCCACCCATTTTCCCCCTTGGTTCCAGGAGGATTATAATTCATGGAATTACTGGAAACTGCCTCCTGCTTTGGACCTGAGGAACCACACGCACAAACAATGAATCTGTAACAGAAACTAGATTAAACACACAAAAGCAACACAAAGATTTACATGGTTCATTTAAAGAGAGGGCTACATCTATGGATTCGTTGTGATTTCACTATGATCATAATAGAGGAATTACAAGAGTTTCTCACACTCAATTTCACAAACTCACTCTATTGATCTCACTAATAAATAGGTTTCTCACACTCTCAAGACTACTATGATAGAGTTACAAATGAGTATTTATAGAGCTAGCCCTGAAAAAAGCCTAGGGTTACTAGGATTAGAGTCCAGACATCAAAATCAGATCAAAATTGCCTTTCCGTGCAAGTCTAGGCAGACAGCTCACTCGAGTGCCCATGGGCCCACTCAATTGAGCTTCCATTCTCACCCTTATGCAAGTGCGCTTACTCTAGTAGCTGTTCACCCCTTTCTGGACAACCCTGCATGACTGGTGTAGACACCCCATTTTTGACCGTCCTCAAGACTTGGACGTCACCGTTTGAACACTCGGTGATCATCCATGTTTGTGTTCGTTTGGAGTTCCCGGAGGCCTCGACTCGCGCGCCTTGCCTCAGAATCCCCGAACTCGACCGTTTAGTGTCCGGTTTCACACCGAACACTTGTGTTTTGCCTTGGAGAGGCAGGGTAGGGCTTGTAGACCATCCCCACCCACCACCGGCAGTGGCTAGAGGCCACCGGCTGGTTTTTGCTGCCACCGGCAATGTAGTTTGCCGGCCGGCACTATTTGTTGCCGGTCAGCACTATTTTGTGCCGGTCGGCACTCTTTTTGGCCAAGATGGCATTTTTGGCCGGCCGATTGTTGTTCATCTGCTTTTGCAGATATTTTTAGACAGCTGTCTTGCTTTTGCTCTTGTAAAGCTTGTCTTGTAAGCTTTACAAGACAATATAGAGAGAAGCTCTCTCTAAGGCAAAAAGGGAGAGGCTTGGTTAGAGACTTAGGATATTTTGAGAGCAAAAACAGCCATTGTTGAGCTCTTGTTCTAGGGTTTGGGTGAGATACACATTCTATCTCTCTTTATATATATATATATATATGAATTAATGTGAAATTTATTTCCAGGCTATAACATACTTCTCATCATTGATTAATAGATTATCAGATTTTGTGCATTGTCTGTGATGGATTGACAGTATGTGAATGCTTTAACCTATTTATCATCATTGATTAGTACAAGAGGTTAAACTCTTCAGGGTTTGTAGGAGCTCTTTACACCAGAGAACTATACAGTTGGTTATATTTTGTTGTGCATCCCCATCTTTTCCACAACAGCTTGTTTGGTTCCAATTTTTGAACTCAATTTTTTTGAAAATTGAGGTGGTGTTTGATAATGTTCACGTTTTTTTGTTTATGTTTATTAAAAAATTATAAACTAGTTTTTGATTATTTTAAAAAAAACAAAAACTACAAACACATTTGGATCGAACAAAATGTTTGAAAATTTAAAAAATAAAATCCCAAAAACATGTTTGTTAATTTCAAAGCATAAAATATTTATTTATGTTAATTATTTATGACAAATCTGTTGTATAGGTCTATTATTTAAATCCGAAAAATTTTGTTTTTTTTATAGATTGGTTTCGTTTCAAATTTGATGGAATTGTAGGTGATGAACTGATTCATTGGTCTTGATTTACAACTAAATTGATCCAATACAAACCATGCTTAGGGGTGTAAGAGTGGAGAAATCAGAACTAGGTGCATTGATAGAGAGGGGGAGAGAGAACAGAGAGATACCTTGATCTATGAAAATAGTCATAATTTGGCAATCAGGATAACCTGTTTTATTATCCTCTTCCTAAAGCTCATGTTGTCATCTTTACTTCTCTTAAAATTTTCTATTGCATCATTTATTATTTTCCTTCATGTTAAATACAATTGCATCAGCAATGATATGTGCATAAAAGTTTACGCACACAGTATCCACCAATGTCTCACAAAATGTACAAATTGCTGCATTTTGTGCACACAAACTTTCTGTGCGTGTAGGGTTTTGCATTTTTATACATGTCAAATGATGAAGTTTCATTTTGTCATGAGAACAATGGTGTTGGTGTTCTTGTTGCAACGACAGATATTCACAAGGCTAATTTTATTCTCTCAGGTTGGAGGACACGAAAACTAAGGGAACAACCAAGCAGTGCAACTACAGCTTGAATCAGCCACAACAACCTCATTGGCATCACCACACAAGAAGTTCAACCGGTGATGCCGAAGTTCCAATCTTCGGTTAAATGAAGCCACACTTGCTGCTGCAGCAAATAGATCCATGCAAATTTCTCAAGCACTGTATTGTAAGCGCTATGTAGTCGGTACATGCTGTCTCAACTCGACAGAGATGCACATTTCAGATTTCATGGAGTACGTGGACCTCTTTAAATGTGTATGTATATATATATCAAAGTGGTTTGTATTTGTTAGTAGGATGTGAATTCTTGATGCATCCACTCAATTTTGGTTAGCACCTAAATGAGTTCTATGTTTCTGTTAAATTGATTATTTTTTTTTACTTGTTTGTCTTGTTTGGTTGGTTTTTGGACTTAAATATGTATATGTATGAAGTTGGTTTGTACTAATATATTCTGTAATTGTACATGTATCACATCTTATTGCATTGTTTTTTATTTTTAATTTTGTTTTCAAACTTAGTTTATTTATTATTTTAATAAACATCAATTATTATTTCTTAATAATTGTTTATGACAGGTATTTTTTTCAACCATATAAAATTAGCACCACTTCAAAAATTAAAAAAAATAAAAATAAAAATAAAGGCTATGGCGGCATTTTTTGAACGTCACTATATCCCTATCCCAACGGTTAGATTTTTAAAATGTGTAAATGTCTTCGACGGCATTTTAAAAACGTCGCTAAATGTCATAGTGACGTCATAGTACAGTTAGGGTAGGACATTTGGCGGCGTTTTTAAAAACGCCGCCTATACTAATATACCGACGTTTTCCAAGTGCCATAAAGCTATAGCGACGGCTGCGTCTTCGGCGTTTGATACTAAACGTCACAAAAAGAAGTAGCGACGTTTTCAGTACCTATAGCGGCGTTTTTAAAACGCCGCAAAAAATCGATTTTCCAGCAGTGACAACAGCAGGAGAAGATGAAATGATTGGATAAAGTCCTTGAGAATAAAAACCTTTATACAAAATCTGTTGTGTAGCCTTGTCCTGGATAAGAAAGAAATGCTCATCAAATGTAATAGTACAATGGTTATCTT